TATTATTATTATTATTATAGAATGACTCCTAATACATTTTTCTTACTTACTATAAATATAGGTCTTCTGCCCATTTTTTTTGGGTGGGGGTTTATTTGTGTTTCTTCCTTTTGTAACTGCCTCAGTTCATTTGTGTTTGGTAGAAACTGTAATAATATTTGTATTATTCTTTGTCATCGTATATAAGCAAAATGGTTTAAATATATAATTGTTGTCCTAGTATTAAAGCATTAAAGTTGTGAAAATCTGTGTTTTAATTTCAGGGCATGTGGAAGTATTGAACTTCATGCTGAACAAGTGCACTGTGGAAGTGGATGCAAGGAATGCCATGGGCTTCACTCCACTCATGAAGGCAGCTCTACAGGGCCGCACCAAGTGTGCCAAACTCCTGTTGTTTGCTGGTATGCATGCGGCACAGTGCAGCCAAGTCACTTGATGACTGGCAGTCATAATTTCAATTACATGTGCATAATTTAAAAATCCATAACTGCAATATCAACACATGCACACAAGTAACCAAATATTACCATCAGCATGAAACTAAAACAAACGTAAGAAACTGATTGGCCTCAAATAGCATACTATGAAGAGAGATTTGTAATCAGATGCTGGTGTTTGAAGGGGGGGGGTTACAGTTTAATTAGAATTTAAAGTGACAATTAAAGTTCACCTTTTAATTTAATGAGATAAATCCTTGTCTTTCTTTCAGCTAGTATACATACCAGCAATAAATTGATGTATAATGGTAAAAGTTGTCAAAATCCACACATCTTCTAGTCCAATGTATATATGTGTACCTCAAAGCTGAAAGACAGAGGACCAGTTGACAAGCAGTTAGTAGAGAGGAGACCGATATATCAAAATAAATGGGATAATTATGTAAAAAACAGAATCGCATGTTCTGTTAATAAGATAGACCCAGACACTATACAGTTCTGTCTGCTTGCTTATGAGATTGTTCAGACTGAAATTTATTTACCTCATAGATTGTTTCAATTTTTTGTCAGTAGTAAGTGAAGAAGACTAACAATAGAGGAACTAAAGTATTGAGAGAAATTTTGCCATAAAAAGTAAATAATTTTGCCACTGACCAATACTTCCAGGTGCCTCCCCCACGTTACGAGATACAGGTCGTGGGTTACGGGCCGAACAATGGGCTCGGTTCTGTGGACGATATGTGTGTGCTGAAGTCATTGAGAAATTTGCCCGTCATCGTCTGCTGGAGAGGACAACAGCTTATGGTCGGTGGGGTAGTGAACCAGAGCTTGGAACACAGGCTATTATAGGAACAGGAAAACTTCAAATTAGCAGTGGGCAGAACTCATCACAGTCTACTGGTCTGAAGTCCCGACTACAGCGTGCATTTCGCACAAATAGCTCAGGGTCTCAGTCCTCTTCCAACCGCTATTCCCTTGTCACACAGCTCACCACAGCAGCTCTCTGTGCCAGCTCACCAGTCCTTCCTACCCCTAATGTCCCTCCTGTTATCAGGTCTCTCATGAGACCATTAACAGTCCCTAAATTGCAGGTGACCCCTGCAGCATCAGGAGAAACAAGTGACTCTTGCATTGAATATCACCACACAAAGGACAGGCCACCAACTGCCAGACCATCAGGAACACGTTCGAAGAACAAGAAATAACATTTACTGCAACTCCCACGGTATTCTAAGTTGAAGAGATGCTTTTCTTTGTACAGTAATGAAGTTGTTTTCTAAAGAGAATTCACCTCTCTGGACAAATAAAATGAGCAATGGAAGTTATTCAGAGTGACAGTTGAGACACAAGGTTTAGCGCAGAGTTGCTGTCAGTGATGAATGATACGTTACTTGTCCTACCAATAGGCCTTTGAATGCAGGACTTCAGTATTAGAAAGCAAATTTGTCATTGTCAGATCTTCGGTTTCTGAGGTGAAGCAAATATCTCTGCCATATTTCTGTAATTCAGCATTTGTATTCCAATTGAATTTCTTGTTTCTATTGTACTTTGAACTTAAATATTTAGTATTTCTAAAATATACTTCTACTTTGAATATAAATCAAAAGTCATGGGCATCAAAATCACAGTTTTAACATTGTACTCGAATTCAAATTTTTATTGACATTTCTGTATGACCATCATTAGCAGTCTATACTCAGTTTCAGTGTATATTTGACAAGCAGGTTATCACCTGAAACAGAGACATTTGTTGTACTATGTGTGAAAGAATGTTGAAATGAGGATCAAGGAAGTGAAAGAAGCTATTATAGATCTTAGAAGCCTGCTCATATGAGATAATTAGAATATTACTGCCACTGAAAGTCAGGATCACAAGATTTATATATACTGAGCAGATTGGTATAGCTGTAATGCTCTAGACTTGTATTCAGGAAGTGCTCAGTTTGAATCTCAGTACAGTCACCAATTTTACTTACTGAGGATTTTCATGGTTTTCCTTAATTCCTCCAGAAGGGTTGGTACCTCAGACCATGGCCACTTTCTACCTAATCCTTTCCAATTCATTAGTCATCCTATCATTTGACTCTATGCTATAGATACAGACAACATAACTGAAAAAAAACCACTCTTCCATTCTTTTCACAGTTCTTGCATAGAAGTCTGTATCTGAGCAGGCAGTTTTGTGGCTGGTAAACAGAGATGGACATAACCACCAAATATGCCATATGGTCTCTGTCTAGTCTCTGTACTGCCAACATGATATAAATGTATTATATGTGGAACCAAACTGCCTGTGTGTTTCTCTGGAGTGGCAATGGCACATTGTGGCCAGTGAATGGCACTATGTATTCCTGCCATGTTGACATGGACAAGGAGAGGGACTAAGTAATGTTAAAAAAAATGTGGCTAAGAACAGATTGACTGTATCACAATTATGGAGATAGAAAAGTGGGAGTGGTAGAATAGTGGGGACAGTTCAATTTCCATATTCTGCACTGCGGCAGGTTTGTTTTGTACAGGTTATAGCTTGGTGCTTATGCATTTGACTTGTCAGCACAGTAGCTATTACATATAAATATTATTATAGTATCTTAAAGTATGCTACAAACATATTGTTCCACATCGCTCTTAATTATTCTATCCTTATTCAACACTTGATAACATTTTCCAATCCCTGGACAGTTTACAGATACTGAACTACCTAGAAAATTCCATGTTAAGGAACACGGAAGTTCATCATCACTGCCATAAGAGCCAGTTGCATGACCAGCAGTTGATGCAGCAGTGTTAAGTAACTCTTGAATCAGACCACATTCTCAATAACACTTGTTCAGAAGTCCATGATATTTTTTATATGTGATACGTTTTCTACACACCCTCACAGAGAGAAATCCAGGGAGCTGAGTATGACAAACATGGATATCCTGGGCCAGTTTAGTGTCAGGCAAAATGTGTTTCAAGAAGTACATGCCAAAAGTGTTGTGAACATGTAGGGGAATGTGGGGTACAACGAAACAGAGGAATTATATTTTTCATAAATTTTCAAACATATTTAATGTTGTCACATGTATGAGCGACTATAGACGGGGTTTGGTTTGGTAACTGGATTTATTGAACACTCACGGATGGTAACTAGTAACTATAGCACTGTCACTAATTCACACACTCTGTAGTTCACTAGTTATTCTTCTGTCTGGTGTGCCTTTACCAGACATTGCTTGGTGATGGATCCCAACAATGTCCTCTGCTTCTGCGCTCATGTTCTTACCGGCTAGGGACTGTCCCACAACTAATTCAAAGTGAATGTTATTTCATGACTGGTGGTTTACTGCCAATCAGTTCATCTTGGTGCCAAACCCCTTGAGGATCACAACCAGAGTTTTTTTAACTGAACCTGACGAAGTGGTGGGTTTGTTTCATGAATATGCTTGGTTGCACACATAGCATCTATTAACAACTCTTCCTTTTGCACTTCCTTTTTCCTCTGTCAGTCCAGGTTTTGCAGGGCAGGTCATGCCTTATCTTACGCATCTTATGCTACAACGGTAGCTTAGTCACTTGAATTGTCATGACCACTGCTAAGTTTAAGCCTCTTATACTTCTTTGTCTGGCTTCACCTTGACCTATTTAAATTTGCATAGTTGGGGGGGGGTGGAGTCCAGCTGGGTCCACTCGGCACGGCGGCCACTGATTGGCCTATTGTACCAGCCTTGGGTGATTATGATGATGGAGAATTTGGTGGAATGAAGATGGGCAGGGGAAACTGAAGCACTTGGGAGAAAACTTGCCCCAGCCTCACTTTGTCCACCACAAATCCCACTTGACCAGACCTGAGCCGCCGCTGTGGGAAGCAAGTGACTAACCGGTGCGGCACTTAAAAATACCAACAGCACGTGGTGTTCCCAAGCGGTCCCCCATCCAAGTACTAACCATGCCCAATGTTGCTTAACTTCGTGATCGGACGAGAACTGGTGTTTTCAACATGGTATGACCGTTGGTTACCTTGACCTATACTATGAAACTAACTCATCCCTCCAGCTGTCCTGCTTATAATATCTCAGAACGTACTGCAGAGAAAACACTGTTCCTCTGTTACTGTATCCATTGTTGCGTTCGTGTCTCTTGGGATGCCCACATGATCACTAGTCAGCCATTGCCTAGCAGCGGTCGTTGTTTTTATAGCCGTTACTTAGCAACGACTATTGTATAACTGCTTATGTCGTGGTTGTTGTCTGGCAATGGGTCTACATGCTACAATATATTTCTCTATTTTTTTGTGTGTGTGTATGAAGCGCAAGTATTTTGACACACTGATGTTTTGATTAGTTCACAGTAGACTTAATAAGAAATTGTATCATTTGTTTCATTGTACCCCACTTGTGGGGCAGAATGGCGCAGACATCCAGGACTTTGGACTTCCAAATCACATGAGGTATTTTCAGTACTGGAAATGTAAGTTAAAGAATACTGACAAGCTTTTAATGAACTGCAGAATCATCCTAGTCGGAAACTTGTTGTTCTTTCATTCTTTCATTCATTCATTCAAACAATTTTGTTAAAACATATTAGAAGTACTCCAGTTAACTGAACAAGTAACTACATGTGAGAAAAGTATGTTCTGACTCTCACTGTTTACTTTATTCTTTATAGTTTCATTGTTCCACAGCAGCACTATCTGAAGGTTAATGGATGTAACCTAAAAGCCAGTAGTCTGAGGAAGATGTAACTCACCTGAACTGAAAGGTGTGCTATAAGATTTAAAATTACCACTCCACAATAGATATGTTTAAAACCCATGGAGAATTTCAGAATATTCAGGAATACAAAATTTTATATCAACTGACAACACTCAAGAACTCAAAAATCATGAACTACACCAGTCACACTGAAACAGGATGCTAGCTTGAATAAGTAGTTTGGTTCTCTTCCACCAAGGTGCCACCTTCTAGACACATATATAGGAAATACCACTGTGCCCCATCTTACCCGACTGTTAGGAAATGGTATGAAGTATCAAGGGCATTTGCACATGTCGGTTTTATATGGCTATAAACTACAAAGATTTGAAAGGACACAGTTATGCTGATTATGGTATGGTAGTATCCTTATGCTGATGCTTAAGCCATCATTTTAGGACAAGAGTCCACAGACTGTCAGATTTGTTATTGTCATTGCATGTATGTATTTGTGTGCATGCATGCATGTATGCATGCCTTGAAGGGGTTGGGGGGGGAGTGTCATGAGTACCTAGGCCCGAGCATCGAAATAAGGATGGAAGAATTATTTTTTGTTACATATAGATATAAAAAAAATGCTGTATTCAACTTAACATTTGTTGGAAATTTGGTTATGATGCTTGGATTCTCACAGTATTCTCCACTACATAGAGGAAAATATTTTGTTTGTAAAATTGAAAGTAGTATAATTTTCTGTCCATTTTCATGCTATGAAAACTAGAAGATTGTCTGTACTACCAGTGCTCAGAAGACTCTTGCTAATAGTAATTAAATCTGCTGTGAATGAGCAGACTATGTATTGATCTCTTCTTCAGAAATGATACTCTGTATACTCAATTTATATTCTCTTTGACATTGTTTAATGAGGTTTCAAAACATGCAACAGAGATTAAATATTAAGGTTATATTTTGAGGGAGAAAATCAGTACCTTACAACAATATTTCATTTTTAATTCCCACACCGTTCTTGATAGGAAGCTTGTTGCAGTCCTTCAGACAGTAGCTCAATTACTATGAAGAGTACTGTCATCCAGATTTTAACACCATGTAGTTCAGAGAGAGTCCAACATTTCTGGGGAAAATAATACCTCCTTCTTCAGGGATGACGAGTAATCCAAGCAAGAAACTAGCGGCTTTCCACCAGCTTCTGCTTCTTGTGTGGCTTATGTTTTGACACTGAAGATGGAGGCAATATGTTCCTCCAAAACATCAGACTATCTTCAAACTACATGGCGTTATGACTCAGTATACCATACCCATCATAGTCACCACCATGCGAATCTCATATCCAACACAGATTAATTATGAATTTTGTATCAGTTATAAAATCAAAACTCTGTTTTGTGTATTTTGAAGAATGCTGGACATAATGTGGCCTTTTCATACCAGGCGCTCTACATTCCAAAACCAAAGCAGCCTGCTAAGTGGTTAAGAGAAACAAATTCATCTCCACTGCTTCATGTTTTCTTTATATTGTTGGTATGTAGCAAAGTGTGAAATTTATCTCCATTGCTTCTATGAGATAAAATATTTACAGTGTAGTTAAGCTTACTTATATTAACATTGAAGAGGCTGTGAAAACAAACTGTATGAGGAGTCAAGTAAAATGCATATGTATCAAATCTATATCAAGTTAAATGAAACAGACTAATATTAAAGCCACGATGACTTTTAATCAGGGATGTTTCATCAAATTCAGTTTCCTACAGTTTTAATCTATATATAAGATAAAACTGTAAACAGCTGAATTTAATGTAACAGCCTTGATTAAGGTATCACATGGTTTTAATATCAAAGAGGGTTTAACTTACTCTGATTATGTATATCAAGCTTTGAATATAAAAATATAGCAGTATACAAAACGCTATCCTTCCAGCTGAAACAGAGAACATAATTACTTTGATATATGATTCAATGATACACAAGACTTGTGCTTTGTAATTATATATTTGCCTTGTTTTACAGTTGCAGATACTGTAATCTGTTTTCTTACATTTGAATGTCATACAACTTGATGTTTTTAACACAGTGCTAAAATTGTAAAGTTGCTAAAATCAGTTGATCTTATATGTTTCTTCTGAATGTTTCCAGTTGTTTTAATTGACTAAATTCATTTACGAACATAAATATAATATAGAACAAAATCACATTCTTATCCATATTTCTGTACTGAAAGAAAAATACTCTTAATGAGAGTAAATTTTTTATTTTTGTATGCTTTGTATTTGCAGTTATGTTTTTCAAATATTTCTCTCTTATCCATATTATTTTTCCTAGGCAGGAAAGTCACTCGTTCACTATAAACACCAAATCAGTTATTCATTTCTACCATTTAAACGTAGCCAGTTCAAATACATGTACATATCAAATAAATTAAATAGGAAGATTTAAATTGCATCCTAGATGTCATTCAAATGCGGTAGATTTGTTAAATTGATGAAATACAGCTAGAGGTAAAATGTTTATTATTATTCTGCATTTTAGGATGCACACATCTGAAAATATGATGTGAACTATTGACTGTGTTCCATCTTTCTAGCACACATGATTCCTGCACCGGTCACTGATGGCTCAATTTAAAGCTCAGAATTGTTTCTAATAATGTATACTAGAATTTTCAGAAATATGGCTGTGATTGTTTTATTAAACAATGTATTTTGTGCTTCAAGGAAGCACTCACTGAGTTCGGTTTACCCATGAAACGAGTTAGGTTTAATTTTTCAATTAAACCTTGACTTATTGTACTCATATAGAGATAAACATTTCTGTGATATCTATCCCGTTCAAAATGGCTTGAAACAAGATGATTATCATTGGACAAAGTGGCGCTGGTGCATATTTTCTTCTAGTACTTCGGTTTCCCCTGACAATCTTCATTCCACCAATTGCTCCACAATCACCCTCACCTTTCTTCTACAATAGGCCAGAAGTGGCCGCAGTACAAAGGATTTAGTCCCACCCCACTAACATTAAAAAAAAAGGTGATTATCATCATTGCGTTTCAGTTTTGCTTCAAAATAGGCCATTGGAAGGTCCAGAAAACCAGGTAGAATTACAATTGAATGGGACCCATCAGATTCTTGTCTATCAGTATACATAATATTATAATTATATTATAATATATAATATAATATATATAATAATATATAATTATATTATAATTATATTTCAGCATCCTGTTGCATTGATGCATCACTCATCCATTTGTTTCTGTCTCTAATGCAACATAAACTTTTGTTTTAAAAAACCATTACGATCACATTTAAATTTCCTAAAATGTCATTAAAATCACATTTTATTTTATTGTTGTGACATGTTTCGGACTTGAAAATGTCACATGTCATTTTAAGTTTTTATGTAGGACCTAAATTTGAGGGGAGTGGGGATAGTGCAGTCTGAATAGCAATTAGCTATGAGCTGGATGGTCCAGGGGTCAGAGTTTGAGACCTGGTAGAGGAAATATTTTCTTCTCTGCACATCGGCCACACCAGTTCTCAATTCTCAGTTCTAGGGTCCACCCAGCCTCCTATCCAATTGGTACTGGGAGCTCTTTTCTCGGGGGTAAAGCAGCTGGGGCGTGAAGCTGATCACTCACCTCAAACTAGTGGTGAGGTCAAGAATACATGGATCTATATATTCACTCTCCCATACATCTTCATGATGTAGCGCTTAATTAGTTAAGCACAGGGACATCTTTACCTTACCCTGAATATGAGTCTGGACGCTTTCAAATCTAAAAGGGAAGCAAAGCTGTATGACAATGTGCAACATAAAACCCTGCACATTTTACTAAATCTGTCTGAAATGTATGTTTCTGTTGAAGTTCCAACCTGCCTAGTGCCTTAGGTCCCACTCGAGGAGCTTCCATATACAAGAACAGTAGTGTAATTACTTTTTCCACAAAACAATTTATAAGGATTTTAATAGCCCTAGAAGCCAAGACTTCAAATACAGATTTCAATTAATGCCTTGCTCATTAGTTTATATATCTTCTTGAAGTAAGTCAGAGTAAAAAATTTCTTGATTCTGCTAAGAAAATAGTGATCGGGTTGTGATTTTAGAGTTTTAAGGAATCTCTAGTTTTCTTACAGCATGATTTCAAGATTTTATATAATGATACAATGGCTTCTCATCTTAGCAAAGATTTCATTGTACACAGACACACACACTGCTAAATTGTTTTTATATAAGCAGAAGTTTTTTTTTATTTCTTAATTTTTGAAATCAACATTTAATAACGTTTATCAAGATTTTACAAATTTATGAATTTACAAAATTGATCTCTGACATTTTGAGAATTATAATCAATTAAGTTTTACTACATAACTTCCCAGAATATCCTGAGCCCCTCCTCTAGGAGGGCGTACCCAACATTTTGGACACAAATGCTCTGGAAAATGGAGTATGAATATGAAAGAGAAGTCTCTTATATAAATTTATAAGCTTTCAGTTTAATTACTTTCAATTACAGAAACACTCTCTTGTTTTCAAGCAGTTTAATACAGTATTTCACTAGAGAAAGAGTATGTCCAAAAAATTTCATTTGGATTAATGATGAAGTGTTTGAATACAGTATTTAGAAAAACTGGCATCACACATTAATAAATCGTCCAAAGATAATGTCCAGCACTTCATGCTGAAGAAATGATTGTGGTCTCCTAAGTCTTTCTCTTTTTCACCTGCAGTTGACAGAGTTCCAAGAGAAGAAATTCTGTTATTGTTTTAGAATCACTACTCAATATCCAATTCTGTCAGGTAATTTTCTTACAGACAGGGTGCTAAAAATATGTCAACCCACTCACTCACTCACTCACTCAGTCACTCACTGTAGCCAAGTTGGCAAACACCAACGGTAAGTATAAAAATATTTGAATGGAACTTATTGCAAAGCTGTTGATGACTGGAATTTGTTAAATGGCTGCTAGATTTAATTTATATTTCTAGTATCATGCCTGATATATAATGAACAGTGTTATTTAGTAGCAAGACTCCATAGCATATATCCATACAGTGTGTGTGGCTACGAAGAAGAGAAGACTTGAAGAGTTTATGCGCAGTATGGGGGGGATAGGGAAAGAAGCATTAATGGTTCAATTTGGAGCTTTATCCAGAGACTGCCTAAAGGAACTGAGGTATATACTTGGGATTCACAGACTTTGTATAGCCAGCCACTAAATACTGTGCAAATTGTTCTTGAATGATATAGACTGTCCATTGTTGACACTGTTCCATTACCGAGCAAAAGACAATTAATTTACATCCATACTGGACCATAAATTATTTTATTTTAGTGTTCAGTACCATGTTTATTTAAATATCTTCAGGTCACAGGATATAAGATAAAAAGGTTACTTCCATTCTTTTAAATAAATTTGGTTCTGTGTGTAACTGACTGCTGTACAACGCTAGCAAGAATATGAAGTAAATCTCATATTTTTGGCTATGTGATTCACATTGACTACATCACCTTCTAAAAGAAGCAGGCTGTTGCTCAGTAGACTCCTGTTTGTTATTAAGTACTGAACAGTGAAATCCATCTGAGTGGTAAAGCCAGTTTTGACCAAACTTGCATTTTGCTTTTGGGACTCTTAATGCTCATTCTCTTATTCTTTTGAAGGTATCATCTATTCAGTTTTATTTCAGAGGATAGTCTCCATAAATTTTCTCAAAATCATTGAGTTGGTTTTGAGAGAACTGTCACCTTGATTTGATGGGATGCATCCCAAGGGCCCTGTTTTTGGAGCTGGAATGTTCAGATTCACCAGGCTCCAGTATATGACAGATATAATCTTTTGAATATCGAATATGAATAACGTCCATCCCATCTTTCAAGTGATAGCGAGGGGCACATCTGTACATACAGACAGGCTGATAGCATTCCAGGAACCACTTTTTGCAATGAGGGGAGCTGAAAACATGAAAATCCATCAAAATTTCAAGATCAGTTTTTGTGACCACAACACTTTCCCATATGTACTGTGTATATGAGACAGTAAACTGGCAACTGGAGATGAATATATAGCAGTTAGGTTACCGTTTAGGCACCGCCTTCAGAATCTTTTATTAAACAAGTTCTGTCACTTGGAATCATATGCATGTGAAATTGATGAATTTAGTAGTATTATACAACTGTCAACACAAGAAATTCATAATAAACCAGTATTACTGTATTAACATTCGTTTTATTATGTACATTTACTATATGTTTTGATCCAGCTGGATCATCATCAGGCAATACTCATGAAATGTATCTCTAATGTGAATCTATACCAGTGGTCACTAGTTAGGAGCACAAACATGGAACTAATGATGACCAGAGAGTTTCATTCTCAGAAAAACATATCTTAGTGTGAACAACGATATGCGGCAGCATTGAAAAGTATTGGCTTAATGATCTAGTGCAGTGCAGTAGTTTTCAAAAAGTGAATAATTGCATGAAGATGGCCAAGTAGGGCCAAAACATGTAGTAATTGATGTGATTTTAATGTCGTTTTAAATTTAAGAGAGATTGAGAATGGTTTTAAAGATGGAGGTGAAGGAGAGCGATACATGAATGCATCAGGATGCTCAAATATAGTATTACAAGTTGCAGTATGACAGTGCTGTAATGAATACTGAGCTCATAAAAGTCTTTAATTTTATTCTGTTTGATGAACATTAAGTACAGTGATGATAAGACCACTTACAGCCATTGGCCATATCAGTTGTACAATCTGTTTCCTTCCTTGACCAGCTATCAGAACTCGTGCAATTATGAAGTTGTTCACCTTGACAATATGAAAGTCACTTATGTTCAGTTATCTGAGTAAAACAGTTACAGAAGTTTCTCTGGGTACACTTTCGGTTGGCAGTATGGTGTTTTGTTCTGAGCTGGGAAACAGACATGTCTTACATACAGAGAACTTTCTTAAAGCAGCATAAGAAAAATAATGTTTACATCAAAATGAAAATAAATATATATTTAATAAATTATTTGTTATTGTAATAAATTTTAAAATCTGGAATATTAACACTGTAAAATATGTAATTTCAGTCTTCTTGGATACAGCCCACAGTAAACAAAATTATCAAGTTAACTGCCAAGTACCATCAGTTGCTTTCAGTAAGGCAGAATCCTGAACAACGCATCATTCTAAAACAGTGGTTCCCATGGGGTTGTCACAACTATGACAGTATTATAATCCTTTCTGGTTTCAGAAAACCCACTATCAAAGATAGTGTAATTTAATAATTATACTGTGTTCAACCACCACAAGAACTGCGTGGTATGGAGACATTTTCCCTGTACTTCCCGAGTTCCAACACAACAGTCCACACTGATCTCAGTATATCTTCCGTACAAGATGTCACAACAAAATCACAAGTCATAAAAACCCACTCCTAAAGACGCTATCGACAAGAGAAGACAACAGACGCCACAAAAGAAACTGGCCAATTGACCTGATTTGAATTATTAGGATTCGCTGCTGGACGACTCATCAAGTCATTTAAACAATCATAACATTAGCTTATAGAATGTATATTCTGATTGATGATTAATCAAATAAATAAAAAAAAAACCATGAAAGCAAGAACTAATGTAAAAGAATGATGTGTATATTTTAGCCACTTGTAACCTACTGGAAATTTAGTGTCATGTGATAACCATTTGACACTCAGCATCACCTGCGTAATGTTAAATGCAGAGGTACAAAAAGCAGCCATCATTTAGCGTACTTTTAAATTAATCATATTAACAACTTTTTTCAAATCTCATAAAAATATATTATTTTTAAATTATGTAGGTTTCCTATACATCTTTGTTCATTTACACTGATCAGTCTGCAGTGAACTTCTTGTTTCGTCGATTCCTTTTATGCTTAATATTTGATAAAATCTCATATGCTTGCTGGATTTCCATAAACTTTTCCTGAGCTACTTCCTTTAGAGCAGGATCTGTCGTTTTGTCAGGATGAAATTCTCGAGACAGGGCTCTCCACTTGGCTGTAATTTCTTGCTGAGATGCTCCACTGGAAATGCCAAGCACCTGCCAACATATGAGCTTGGCTATGAAACTGGATCTACAAACTCAGCAACTGTCTCATACTAGGCATTCATCACTTCATGATCAACATATGTCATTTACTTACTTACTCATGGAGCTGAGCCCTTCTTGAGAAGCCTAATCTGAAGCTACTCAAGAATTTCCCAGCATTTTACGGAACCTGAAGGTTCATTACCGTGTTCACAAGAGCCCTCCACTGATCCTTATCCTGATCCAGATGAATCCAATCCATACCATCCCATCCTATCTCTAAGATCCATTTTAATATTGTCCACCCACCTACACCTTGGTCTTTCCAGTGGTCTCTTTCCTTCTGGCTTTCCCACCAATATCCTATATGCATTCCTCTTCTTCCCCATTCGTGCTACATGCCCTGCCCACCTCAGTCCTCCTTGACAACATATGTCATACCAGGAATTAATTAATAAATCCATGTTTCACCCACATATGTTCTAATTAGGAATTAAGTAGTCCATGTCTCTTTCTCTCAAGTACACCACAGTGGGAATTCACCAGTCCATGTTTCTGTGAAGTATGTCACCCTAGGAAGGCAGAGGGTATCTCCCCCTAAGCCTTGAGGTCTATGTGGTTGATCTCCCCTGTGCCACAGTACCCATATGCCTCTGCTCATGTTTTCACTAACCTATTCCAATATAAATCCCAATCCTTCACCCTGAATACACTCAACGCTTAAGTTTCCAGTACTTTGAGAAAGAATGCATAGAAATTCAACTTTCCAGAAAGCTATGGTAACATACCTTATAGGCATTCTGTTCTCCATGAGGATCTGACAGATCAACGAGTTGTTTCCATATCTCGTACCAGCCATGATGCTGAGCATACTTCCAGGTATCATATAGTGACTGTTTGAGGTCAGTCCACAAGGGAGAAGTGAAGAAATGGTGCACAGCTTCTGAAATCTTTATCTCCTCCCCCTCACTATCCGTGAATTTGGCATTGAAACAAAAGTAACTTCCCCAGAGGGACAAGTACAGCATGCCACAGAGAGACAATACCATGATGCGCCTGAACAAAAGAGGAGCCTACAGTGTTGAAACTGTTAAAAACAGCGCCTTCAGTTCGACAGATTCAGCTTCATTATTTCCAAATCATGGTATGTGAAATACCAAGGCACAACATACGCTATATCCTACTCAGTTCTCAATTTCCTGTAACACTGTAACTTGGCATATTTTGTCTAAAATATATTTCAACCATAGTGAATAGATTACTCTTCAGTGCTCAGTAGTCTTCTGTCCTGTCTCAATAAGCTACAAAAACACCACAGGGTCCAGGGTTCAATCCCAGATCAGGTCTTGTGGTTGACAATGTGGCACTGGGGTGGGTTTTCTCTGCCAGTTCTCCTTCCTTCAGCTGCTCCAGAGCTGTGTAGCCTGGAGGGAGCCTATGTTGCATAGGAACATACTGCCTCCTTCTTCAGGGTCGAAGAGTAAGCCATGCAAGAAACCAGCAAAAGCAGGCAGCCATCCCCTTCTGTTGGCTTCTTGCATGCCTTACCCTTTACTTGCAATGATGGTGGCACTCTTCCTTCAATACGCAGGGCTCTCTCCAAAATTCACAGCGTTATTACCCAGTCTTAATATACCGCAGATTTGAACTTATTTTCTATTTGCAACCAGATTTCAGAGGGAATTTTGGATGCTGGGGTGGAAACTTTATTATTTCTATGTGAAAGTGCACTTTAAACTTTAAGACATTCATACTTTAAGAACATTTTCCATGAAAAGAAGGAATCTTGTACTTTAAAAGTACTGTGTACTTTTAAAGTCACAAACACTATATCATAAAATAGAAAATAAATTAACATTTAAATGGATGTTAGAGCTGTGTACTCTCTTGAGAAAAACTCTGTGTAACAAATGCTTCTAAACAAATATGTTGGAGACCTGAATTTTGTTATATAGTGTGTATAAATTTTTATTTTCAGTCAAATGCCTATCATATTTTGTATACCAATTTATATAACAATTCAAGTACTTACTTTAACAGAGATTTTTGTTGTTTGGGTTTCCGTCGCCATCGTTTTGATTTTATATCAAATGCCAAGGCAGACACAAATGTCATCAGTGTGTACCAGGTGGTATCATCATCCAGAAACCAGTGAAGTGGAAGTGTTGCATATGCCCCATATGTGGCCCAATGAATTGTGCCTTCTTCTCTTCCAATATTGCCAACTGTCCAAACCCCTACAGGAAGAAAATGACTACAATACTACACAAACAAATATTGACATTCATAAAATCAATAATTGTGACTCTATTCATACCCAAAGCACAAGCAAGTGGCACAAACACAATTAACCATCTCCAATTAATTCCTCCAACCTGTTCCTCTGGAATGGCTAGCCACAGAATTGAACTCCACAGGTATGCTACTACTACCATACCACAGAACCTTGTGCTGGAAAATGGTGGCTGGAACAGAGAGAAACAAGATGGTAAAAGCTTACAACGTACACTTAACACATGCTAACATCCATGCTTAAGTGTTTATTAAGAGAGCTCAAATATATACAGTATTCAGATAAACTCAGGAACATATTTTTGTTTTGAAGTAAATATCATGATTAAAACAGCTGTAGCTAGACACCTGGAATTTGACATGAGCTATTTTTCTTAATAGTCTAAAATATGTGTTAAAAAAACACACACCAAAAACTCTTTGAATTGAATATTTGAGGTTTCAATTCCATGACCTACATTCCTGAATTTTATATAAAATAAATAAAAATAGAACAGGTGACCAGCCTACCAGAACAACCTAATACAAAGCTTGCTACAAGCTGGGAAAAGAACAGTGTGTGAAATTAGTTTTTGCTGATGAAAAATACAGCAACTGCTTGCATTAGTGTAAGTTATGCCATATGCTGTCAGCAAGCTGATGTGGCAGTAATGTTCTATACTTTATCAGGGGCATGCTTGCTTCTAGTTTTGCCACAACAATGGCTATCCTGATCGAGTTTTCGTGGTTTTCTTCAGACCTTGATGGTCAATACCAAGCCAGTACCTTGATCTGATCATTACCACTTCCTTCTGAGTTGTTATTCATCAGTCCTGCCTGGCAGTCATTAAATACGGCACAAGACAACGTTTTCAGATAGCAGGATATTTGTAATGTACACCTATTATTTTGTATTCCGATAAAAGGAATTACCGTTTCGTGTGTCCTCAATCGATGTATGTGTCTTTCCATAAATTTTTTATCTTCGTTTGCATCCGCAACATATTCAGGTATGTGAAAAATATCTCTCAACCAACCACAACCAGCGTAACCACCAAGCGTACACCACCAAAGAAATGCCTGAGCGTCCCTTTCGAGGTAAATATGGTGTAAACCAAAAAATCCACCAATCAACCACAATACGTATGTTACGAACATACTTTTGGCCATCTTATGTGTCTAATCTCAACTCTTTTATGGAATATTTTCGCAATATTCTCCACCCGTGACCAAGATACGTCACACACCCTCACACAAATGTCATTGACCTCATACGGTACTCGCCCCAACCAACAATATACATACTGACCATACTGACAGTAGGCCATAGCTTAACCGCTTACGTGTGCTTGTTATCCAGCTGTTTGTTATTGTTCCAGTAATATAGTGACATCTGCAGGGAGTGATGCGAAAAACGTGCTTGTAATACGCATTCCACTCGCGAAGATGCCACTACTTCATGCGGCTCCAATCATTAAAGATGTACCTGAGGATATGGAATTACAAAATTTGATGCGACAGCTCAATTTTGACAATCAGAACAAACATCCCATACCTTTCCAGGCAATTGACGCAGTCAGACTTAAGATGGGAGTCAAAGAGACAAACGAAGAAACTAAGGAAGAAAGATGGGCATGGAAAGAGTCAAGGGCAATATGTTTGACGTTTAGAACTAAGGAATTGCCCCCTCATGTATATTTCTACAGTATGAAAATTGAGGTTACTACGTTTGTTGCAGCAGTACGACGAATACGAAAATGTTATTGTTGGAGGTGCAATTTTTCATGAAAGTGAGTGTTGGTGTAAGCCAAGAGATGGCGCAGTAATCGGTGAGTGGATGCACTGATGCGGGCATCCGGTATGTGTGTAGGACAAAAATGTACAGTAAGATGTAGTAAAGAGTAATATTCAAGTGAATCGGAGTTTTATTCAAAATAATCACCTCGAATCATCAATGCCAACCAACAGTTATAAATGTGGGAAATTCGGCCACATAAGTAAATTTTGTACGAAGGAAAATGCGGGGAAGCAAAATATGAAGGGTCTTGTATAAAAAAATGCATAAATTGTAACGGGGACCACAGAGCAAACAGCGAGCGATGCCCCATTATTAGAAAACAGAAAGAAATCAATGAAATCATGGTTCAGAGAAATGTCGGATTTTTTGAAGCACGAACAATTGTAGAAAAATGGTCGAGCCATGCGTCCCATTTAGGTGCTGGAAGCCCCCGAGGGTAAGCTGAACCAAATATGAGGAACTTCCCCTTTCTCGAAACGCCAAGTAGACGAAAGGAATGGGATACTATTGTGAAAAGCGAAAACATAAAGTCCCGAGCGAAACGATTGGATGAAATCCGGAGAGAAGTCAATGGAAGATGAACACGAATAACAGCAGGACTCAAATATCTGAACCGAGTTCAAACAAGACTGAGCAAAGGAACAACTCTAAAGACCACGCAGTGTTAGAAAAGTGTTTAGACGAGCCGGAGTACACTGAGATGGAGGATGAAGTCAAGAATGTGTGGGGTTTTGCCTTTGTTGTTCGTCATTACTCCGATGACAACCCACTTCTTCGGAACAGTTTGTTGGTCCTGAAAAGGACCGTGGTTGCTGAGATGCTGGACAGGTGAGGTAGCGCGGCGCGCACCGGTAGAGAGAGAGGCTAGTTGCAGTGATTTGACTGGCCACAGCGCGGCCGTTGCTGGAGTTTGCTTGATCGCCGTGCGGCAGGTGGGTTGAAGATGCGTGGTCGCGCAGCGCGGTTGTAGGAGTGATGAGGCAGTGGCTACGCCAGATGCCCAGTGGGTCGGACATGGACACGACCACCAGCAAGTCCAGGCGAGGTGCCCCAGTGCGTCGGGTGTGAGAGCCGGAGGGCCGAGGCAGTCGTGCCTGGAGCAGCCTGCCGATGCCTCCGAAGACCGAGCGCTGGCGACGAAGCCTGCTGGCTGATGTTGCTTGAGTGTGCCTTAATCGCAGACTGAAGGCTGGAGTCAAAATTTCAAAGCAATCGGCGAAGAACTTTCGGGGATTTAAGACTTTGAACAAACCAACATTTACATTTTTATTTATATAGAAGATAGAAAAAAGAAGATGTGTTACTATTTTTGCCATATAATCCTTTCCATTACTGAACTGGAATATGAAAAGTTTCCAGATTTTCAATATTCATTATATGAGGGGCAATAAATAGTTCCTGGAATGGTGTTATAGCACTCTAAAGGTAAGACATACAGCAACGCTTACCTAAACTAATCACCTTCAAAGTAGGATCCTTGCGCGAACACACACTTGCAACATCGATCCTGCCATTGTTGGAAGCAGAGGTGGAAGGCTTCTTTTGGAATCTTCCGGAGTTCAGCTGTAGCATTCGATTTGATGTCCTCCATGGTTACGAAACGAGTCTCCTTGAGACCCAATTTGAGAGTGTGAAACAGCAAAAAGTCACAAGCAGCGAGATTCGGAGAGTACGGTGGTTGAGTGACGACAGGAACGTTTTTACTCGGCGAGGAATTGCTGCACAACAAGCGATGTGTGGTACAGTGCGTTGTGATGCAGAAACCACTGTTCCTGCCTCTTGTCGCGCCGCTTCCTCCGAACCGCATCGCGCAACATCTGCAAAACTTGCACGTAGAAATGGCCAGTAACAGAACCAACTTCTTACTCCAACTCCGCAATGCTTGAGCGTCCCTTTCGAGGTAAATATGGTGTAAACAAAAAAATCCACCAACCAACCACAATACGTATGTTACGAACATACTTTGGGCCATCTTATGTGTCTAATCTCTCCTCTTTTATGGAATATTTTCGCAATATTTTCCACCCGTGACCAAGATACGTCACACACCCTCACACAAATGTCACTGACTTCATACGGTACTCGCCCCAACCAACAATATACATACTGTCGATACTGACAGTAGGCCATAGCTTAACCGCTTACGTGTGCTTGTTATCCAGCTGTTTGTTATTATTCCAGTAATATGGTGACATCTGCAGGGAGTGATGCGAACAACGTACTTGTAATACGCATTCCACTCGCGAAGATGCCACGACTTCATGCGGCTCCAATCATTAAAGATGTACCTGAGGATATGGAATTAGAAAATTTTATGCGACAGCTCAATTTGGACAATCAGAACTAATATCCCATACCTTTCCAGGCAATTGACGCAGTCACACTTAAGATGGGAGTCAAAAAGACAGACGAAGGAACTAAGGAAAAGAGATGGGCATGGAAAGAGTCAAGGGAAATATGTTTGACATTTGGGACCAAGGAATTGCCCCCTCATGTATATTTCTGCAGTATGAAAATTGAAGTTACTACGTTTGCTGCAGCAATACAACAATGTTATAAATGTGGGAAATTCGGTCACATAAGTAAATTGTGTACGAACGAAAAACAATGCTTCTCATGTAGGGAAGCGGAACATGAAGGGTCTTGAATAAAAAATGCATAAATTGTAACGGGGACCACAGAGCAAACAGCGAGCGATGCCCCGTTATTAGAAAACAGAAAGAAATCAATCAAATCATGGGTCATACAAATATCGGATGTTTTGAAGCACGAAAAATTGTAGAAAATGGTCGAGCCATGCTTTACATTTAGGTGTTGGAAGCCCCAAGGGTACGCTGAACCAAATATGGGGAACTTTCCCCTTCTCAAAACGCTAAGAAGACGACAGGAATGAGATAATATTGAGAAAAGCGAAAACAATAAAGTCCCGAGCCAAACGATTGGCTGGGATGAGAGAGAAGTCAATGGAAGATGAACATGAATAACAACAGGACTCAAATATCTGAACCCAGTTCAAACAAAAGTGAGCAAAGGAACAAATATAGAGACCAGGCAGTTTTAGAGAAATCTTTAGACGAGTTGGAGTCCACTGAGATGGAGGACGAAGTCAAGAATGTATTGGTGACAATAATCAACTTAGTAATAAACTCCGGATACGCTAAAGCAATGGTTAGACACCTGTGAAAAGCCGTCGAGCTTCATGAACGTCACAATAGAATTCAACGTGAATCTACCAATTAAGATAGTTCAGTGGAACTCTAGGTGCCTAAGAAGCAAGTTCCAAGAATTCCATCAGAGGAGCCAAACCACAGATGTTATAATGCTATCAGGTACCTGGCTTGGTTAAGCAGATAGTTCAGTGGAACTGTAGGAGCCTAAGTTTCCAGAATTCCAACAGAGGAGCCAAAACATAGATGTCATAATGCTATCGGAGAAATGGCTTGGTGAAGCAGATAGTTCAGCGGAACTGTAGGAGCCTAAGAAGCAAGTTCCCCGAATTTCAACAGAGGAGCCAAAACACAGATGTCATAATGCTGTCAGAGACGTGGCTTGGTGAAGCAGAAAGTGTATATCTAAAATGGTCTGGCATGGTGAGAAAAGAAAGGAATGAATTGTAAGGGAGGAGGGGGGAAGTTTGAAATTTTTCTAAATAACAAACTGAAATATTCCCATATGAATGGTTTGTGTGATGGTGATGGCAAAATTGAAGCGTGTGCAATTGACCTATATATGGGCCAAGATAAAATATTAATCATGTCATATTATGAGCAGCAACACAAGAAAATCGAGCTGAGGATATGAAAAAAATTCTTCACAAATTCAAAGGAAAATTATTGAATTCTTGATTGGCGGAGACTTCAATGGACATCATCATTTGTGGGGTAATTAGAAAGATTGTAAAACTGGCAACAACCTGTACCACTGCATCACTGAATTGGAAATGACGGCTCTGCCACACATATCTTCGATGTTACAGGATCCAAGGCAGCCCTCGAGCTAATTTCTGTGGACCCAAGATGAGCACTGTTATACACCTGGAAGCTTGGAACAGGCCCTTGGAATAGCGAACATTATCCAGTTCTCATCGAGTATAATGGCAAAACAGAGCCAGGGAAAGACAGCGTAAAGGTTTCTAGATTGCACAGTAAACACACTGATTGTACTGTCTTCATGGAAAAAGTTAAAGAAAAAATCACGGAAGTCGAAATGCATGACGGATGGATAAGAGAGAGGAATGTAAAGGAAAGGTATGATAATTTAGTCCAGATAATTAAAGGAAAATTAGCAGAGACCACTCATAAAAGAAAAAACCAGAACAACCTCGAAAATGGAGGACAAGGAAAAATAGGAAACAGAGAAAAAAATCAGAATGTTTATGGTGGAACTGAGAATGCGATAAGGCAATTAAAATCAGAAAAGCTAAATTGAATAAGTGGAAGTACTGAAAAATTATGGAGATGTTTTTGGAATACAAAAGGGCAGCAATTATCACAAAAAAAAATAGACAGAGACATCAAACAAGAGCACTGGAAAACTATCTGCGAGGGAATAAATAAATTCTCTGCGTTTGCTTCTAGATCAACCTCCTTACAAAAGTTACAGACACTGTGCTTTTCTATATAATATCTATAGATTTAGATCAGCATAGACCAACAACTGATGTGTCCTGTTTAATTTGAGTCCCACCTGGTATTCCTGGATATTCCTAATGGAATATTCTAAAGCAAAGCTGAAAAGCAGTGGCGATAAAGATTTGCCTTGTTTTAGACCATTCTGGATAGGAAATTTATCAGGCAAATAATTACCTACACGGACTTTACTATACGTTTCGTTTGAACACAT